CCCCCCCCCCCCCCCCCCACAAGTGCACAAATTCTTGTGCACTGGGCCTCTAGTATGGAATATAGTCAATAATATTGTAATAACTATGTATGGGGCCAGGCAGGTACTAGAAATATCAGGGGGGTCATTTTGTAAAGTATATGATTGTCTAACCACTATGCTGTACACCTGAAAGTAGTACAAAATAATATTTAATCTACACTGTAATTGAAAAAAATATATTAAAAGTTAAACACTTGCCAAAACCAAGCATTGAACCAGAGACCTTTAGATCTCCAGTCTAACATGCTCCCAACTGAGCTATTTCAGCTAAACCTAATGGTGCTCTTCTTGTCAATCACTTTAAAAGTGCTTTTTAAAAATTTTCTTCATTACCCTTTTGGATGTCACATTTCAGAAAAAATTAAATTATTTGTTGCTTGTTTCCTGAAAATATAAAATTTGCCCAGGCATCTGTCGGTGGCAGCATGGTAAACATTTGATTTTGATGCTTGCTTTGAGTGTTCTTTTAGTTTTGTTTTGTTGCTAGCTTTTGTTTAACCTTGGTTTTATGAGTAACTCTAAATCAGGGGTCCTCAAACTACGGCCCGCGGGCCACATGCAAATACAAATATTGTATTTGTTCCCGTTTTGTTTTTTTACTTCAAAATAAGATATGTGCAGTGTGCATAGGAATTTGTTCATAGCTTTTTTAAAAACTATAGTCCGACCCTCCAACGGTCTGAAGGACAGTGAACTGGCCCCCTGTTTAAAAAGTTTGAGGACCCCTGCTCTAAATCTACCCCTGAACCTCCTTCCAAAGCCCCCACCCCACCCCCATTAATGCTTTGGCACTGTGGTGACAATTCAGTTCATTATCTACAAAAACGGTATAATTTAACCACTGGTACTATCTCTTTTAATCATGTCCTTAATTTAAAATTATTCCACCTGGCCAGTGTGCTCAGTGGTTGAGCATGGACCTATGAATTAGGAGGTCACAGTTGGATTCCTGGTCAGGGCACATGCCCGGGTTTCGGGCTCTATACCCAGTAGGGGGCATGCAGGAGGCAGCCAATCAATGATTTTCTCTCTCCCCCTTCTTCTCTGAAATCAATAAAAATACATTAAAGCCATTCCACCTTAGAAACACTGTTTACTTTTTGAAATAAGCTTTATTTTTAGAGTATTTTTAGATTTACATAAACAAGTGCAGAGTTCCCATACACTCCCTTTCCCCACTTCAGAATCTCTCCTGTTACTAACATCTTGTATGAGTGTTGTGCTCCGCTCAGCACCATCAGGGGTGCACCTGAGGGGGGCGGTGAAGGATTAAAGAAGACAGACAAGAGAATACAGCTGGGGCCCAGTGGGACGCTGCTCTCTGATGGTGCTTTTTTTATATTATAAAATTTATTTTATAGCAGATTCCACGAGGCAAAGTCTGGCATGGTCAAGATGTTTACAACGTTCTCGCTGGTTTCCAATCTACTCAATTACATGCACCTGAACTCTATCAACCTTTGTTTTGGCAGCATTTGCTGCACCTCCTGCAGCCCACGTCACTCAGCCACCTGGGACCACAGGTTCAGACCATCAGGGCAAGCTCACAACCACAGCCTTTGGCTATAATTGTGCTGGGAGGGCTGTGCCCTCCAAGCTGTGACCTGCACGTGGCTTTGCCACAAGAGGACCATGCCCTCTCATTAGTCCGAGGCCTGAACCTGTCCAAACACTGTAGCCGCTCTCCACACAGTGTGATACATTTTTACAAAGATGAACCAATATTGGTGCATTATTACTACCGAAAGTCCACAGTAGAGTGCACTGTGTCACACAGGTTTATGGATTTAGACAAATGCATAATGTCACGTATCCGCCATTACAGTGCGTACAGTAGTGTCACTGCCCTAAATCCCCTGTGCTCCATCTATTCATCTATGCACCGCCCCCAACCCTGGCAACCAG